TTACGATAAGCAGTTGTTCGTAATCACACTCTAATTGAACCTATCAAATTGCGCTGAACTGAATCAAAAAGTTGTGTCTTTCCCAGCATCTCGTGACAAATTTCTCTCACTGTATCAGTTTACAGTTCACTTTACCAACGTACAGATACACAAAAGCTGAACTTCTTGAACTATGTGACGGTTATGCTAATCTATATCTGTGCACTGGCTATGCATCAATGCAGTTGTGTCGCAACGATGAATTGGTAGTTTTTCAGTGTATTTCTAGTTGGGAAGACCTTCCTCAAAAGGGAAAATTTTTATCCAATACACTGCTCGTCGGATTTGAAATGAACTGAAAACAATGTGAGCTCAAATCAACACGAAAACAAGTATTTCCATCGAAATCACTCTTAATAACATCATATTTTTGAATAATTTTCTGATTTGAGTGCTAAATTATGCGATGACATTCGTTGAAAAGAAATAAGCACCGTTTAGGTACGATTCGCAAGAGATCATCTGGGATATGTGTGCAATCCGATGAATCTTGAGCGTTTCATGCAACACTTCGACTGCTTAAGGAAAGTTGAGGAACATAATTCGGACAGCTGTCAATATTTCATCGAAGGCATCGCTGAGCCGGGTAAAGATCAGGTTTGTCAGTTACACTCATTGATCAGTGTGCATTAATATTACGAGGATCACTCCGATTTCAAGTGGACACAAGCAACATGATCACATAATTGATTGACTTCAGATGATAGGATTTGAATTTGATAGAACGCACAAATTTTCAGCGAAAATGCAGAGGTGTGAAACAATATAATGATTGCTTGCAACCGAAAATTCGGAAAGAATGTGGCAAGGAAGCATGGAATGAGTTCGATAAAGTTATTGAGTGGGTTGGATGTCGTGTTTGAATCATCTGATCGCAACAAATAATGATCATTCCGCGTCCAAATTCTTTTTGATTCTCATCGATTTTCATATTTGAAGGATGAATGTAGAATTTTAGTTCTTATTGTCGAGATAAATTCCACTGAAAAAGAGGCCTAATGAATGAAAAGATTTTGGAGCAAAACATTCAACTGTATAGTTAAGATAAGTTCACGAACATCAGCTTTGCAAAATGAATGTGTTGCTGCTCACTTTTATTCACTGAATATACCAACTAA